AGAAGTTAGAAAGTCGTGGTCCATGCTGTCCCAATATCGGACCACCTCTTCTTTCATTTCAGCTATATTTGTCAGATTTTTTTTATTGACACTTTCCTTCATAAGTCCCCAAACATTTTCTATTGGATTTAGGTCAGGGCTATAGCTTGGCCAATCTAATAATGTCATATATTGGGTCCAAAACCAGGCCTGTGAATGCTTTGAACGATGTTTTGGGTCGTTGTCCTGCTGGAAAATCCACAAATTTCCATAGAACACGTGAGCAGATGAAAGTAAATGTCCCTCGAGAGTATCTGTGTACCGCTCACTGTTCATATTCCCTTCAAATACACAGAGGGGCGTTGCCCCTAACACATATATGCCACCCCACACGTTAAATTTCGGACTGTACTTTGGGCGCTGATACAAAGGTTTTTCAGTTTGTTTGGTCCAGAATTTCAGTGTATTAGGAAACAGCCACACAGAACTTTCATCTGAGAAAATCACATCGTCCCAGTTAAAATGTCTGTGCTGTAAGCACCAGTTCAACCTTCGCTCCTTTTGTTCAGGTTTCATGATCGGTGATGATCGGGGACAAAGGAACATAGCTATGGTCAGAATAGAGGTACAGATAAGCTGCGTATCTGCGTAACTTACGCAAATATTTACGTGAAAACTGAATTCCTATTAAGTCTGTTGCGTACAAGTACGCTTGAATTTTTTGTAAATACTCAATAAATTAAATCTTACATGTGTACACACTAAAATGTCGAATCTTAGCTTGGGTACCTGTGGATCCATAAAATAAAATAACTGAGGTAGATTGAGAGGTTCTATTTCAGCACATGAACTTGGCAACTTACAATCTTTCTTATTGTTTCTCATATTGAAGATCAAATTAAAAACAAACCAGTAAAACAACATTTAAACTTTATTTTTTACAATTAATGGAAAATGGAAAAATACCCAATTGAGTTTGAGTGAGGTGGGTACAATTTATTTGGTTACTCAAAGGAAAATTAGGATACCCAATTGAGATGAACACAAGCGAGTACATAACTCAATGACCCCAAAGGTTATCTGTAGCTCTGTATGGTGGTGTCCTCCCAAAAGTTAGACGTCCCAAAAGTTAGACGTGTTAAAACAACAAAGGTTATGGTTGGTTGCACTGAGGTTCACTACACTGCTACCTTCGTTAATTAATGGACTAGTCCTAATGTACTAATCCAAACACAAAGGGAAGAGACTGTGGATAATGACAATGACTTTATTTGACATAAAACAAAATAAGTTATTTCAACAAGATAAATATAAATGATCTATGGATGACTTTGTAATGACTTTATTTGGCATTAAAACAAAAGAAGTTAATTTAACAAGATAATTTAAATGGTCAATCAAATCATTCAAGATTTAAGATTTCACATCTTTCACATCATACAGGCAAGAATGTCAACCGAGTCTGAGCAAATGCCCAACTGCATCGAGGAACTCCATGTTTGTCATCCCTCCTGCACACATGTCATCGGTTCCCAATTGCGCAGATCGATGCTCATGTTGTTGATCACTGGATTGTCTGGTCCAGACTCGATTATTTACAGACCGCCGCCATATAGCTGGAATATTGCTGAGTGCAGGGTAAAACTAAACTCACTCACTCATCCCTCCTGCAGGCAGTCTCTCTTGCAGACGCATCAGCCTGTTCTCAGTTTCTCTGTACACCTTCTTCCTCTTCCACATCGCCAGTGAACAAACTCTCCCCTGACTCTGCTCTTGCTGTATATGTGGCCTTGAAGGATTACCTGAGGAGTACCCTTCTGTGACTTCATGTATTCTACTCTCTGAAGACCAGCCATCGTTTGTTCTAACCCTTAGTTAGTTATTTGCTTTATTTAGCGTCACACGCACAACTAAGGTAAGAAAGGAAATAAAATATGAAATAGGTAAGGAGTAATAGAGATTTGGAAACCTGTTTAATTTGATTGTATTTTGTTAATATGTTGCTCTACAACCAACCCATGTTTATAAACATATTTATTAAGTGCATAATGATGAACATATAAAAGGTTAAAAAATGAAGTTGATAAAAATAGAGAACTCATTTGAAAAGTTAAAAGAACATATATGCAAATTTATAACAATTTTTAAAATGGTAAAAAGTGGAATTATTGTATTATTGTTTTTGTTGCTAGATTGTTTGTCATAATTTGGTATGAATAAGATATTTAGTGAGTGGTTTAATTAATTTGGGGTTTGTTAGAATGTGCTTGTGATCAGAAAGTAAGCATTATTGAATTTGGCAAGTGATACGTTTGCCGTTTGAACATTGTGAAAAAACATTTGAAGAACCCAGTGATTGATTGAGTAAGCCAGTCATCATTACCATTCTGATCAAAGTATTTCTGTACAAAAGTGAAAACCATCTCGTTAGTGTATGGGACAGGTTCATTATATCAGTGGGTAAGACTAGGTTGTAATCACAGTCACGCCTGATTGATTTGTCTGACTTTTGGGACGTCTGACTTTTGGGACGTCAAACTTTTGGGAGTAAACCTGTATGGTTCCCGGCAATATCCAGGAGGGGGAGGGTCAATCATGGTATGGGAATGCATTTCCTAGGGTTGCAAGATGGACCTCATTACCCTTAATGTTGTTTATCAAAGTGAGGTATGCAATATGGATTATATCCAGTCATTTCTGCAGGTGTATAAGCAATAAATATATAAAAGATGAGTCACATACATGCATGCATACATACATGCATACTTACATGCATGCATGCATGCATACATACATACATACATACATACATACATACATACATACATACATACATACATACATACATACATACATACATACATACATACATACATACATACATACATACATACATATATGTAACAATTCAGGAACACTTGTTTTCATCAACAATATTTTTCACAAGGTTGGTTTTGTCTGTTACATTTCATAAGCACTACAAGCGTTCCAAGTCATGATTGAATTTATCTTAAAGACACCAAGAAATTTATGTTCCTAACATACTAGTCATCCTTTAAAGATGTGAAATTTTGCAAAAACAACAACAAAATAACTACATGGTTTTTTCTTTATTTTTTTGCATTAACAAATTTCATAAATGACGCTAACCAACTATTTTCGATGGTTGATCGGTGGTATTGAACCAATCATCAATTATGAGATTTTAACCAATTCCCAACACTAATAGTCACACTCACTGCTGTTAGCCTCGAAAACAAGATCCCATCCTGGAATCAGACCACAGTCTCTCCTACCTGCGTGTAATATGATGAGTCTTTTCCCTTTACCTGACGGTATCTGAGGTGCAGAGGACATGTCTCATGGCAGCCACATTCTATCTGTCGAATGATTTTTGTTCACCCACGTTTCATCATTATCATTGTATGAGATAAGCCAAAACCCCAGCCAGACATCAGGGCTGGTAACTTCAAAATGTTACCAGTCCAAAATGGATTTAACCAGACCAGACACCAAGATATGACTCAGATGTATATAACATCTAATTTTTTTACCAGACCATCGGGGCTGGCTAGCTGTAAATCTAGACCGTCCGTCTGAAATCTAACCCGTCTCGGGCAGTCGGACGGGCCATATTTCATACACTGTCATTATACACAATTTCAAACCCCAGTTCTCTGTGCTCACGTATCTGTCTCAGGTAGGCACATCTCTGATTGACCATAATCTTCTCTCCTCGTTTGGTATATTGGAACCCTATGTCCTTTAAATTACTTGTTGTAAAACTAAACTCACTCACTCAAAACACTTGTTAAAGTGCTGCTTGAAACATAAATAGTATCCCTAATTTCAAGTTGGATACGTTTGACAGTGGGAGGGATGCGGCTACGATAAAGCTTTTGAACTGCGCGCCTGATTATGCCCCTATCAAAACTGTCACTCACTTTCTTTCTACCTCTCCGCTCTTTTGAGACGGTCCCTTCACTACCTTTCGTGGTCTGTTTATTGATGATGCCTGAGACTTGACTCACAGATACCCATGTTGACAGCACGTGAGTGATGATGTGACAAGCATGGATGTTATAGTTTTTTTCAATAGACGCATCATAAACTTAGAAAATGTTTTCATTTCAGTAGGTTTCTCCTGTAAAATAACCCATTTATGTCATTTAGGTACTCATCTATAGATAGTGTTTTTATGCTGATATATACAGATGTCCTTCTTTTTCAATCGATTATCTACACGATATCTCTCAATATCTATTTTTTTATCAATACTTTAGCTCAACGGCTTCGTAATTCTGTCTCGTGTTTTTTCTTAGCTCTCAACCCGTTGTAGTTATTATGAATAAACTCGTATTCCAGCCATGCAAGGCCTACATTTTAATGCGTTTCCACTTTTTATTCAACCGCTAATTACCATAACAGTATGGCCGACAAATGGTAGGAAGTAGGCGGGGTCTCTATGTTTCAGGTCATTTAAGTAATAAAATGAGTCGTTTTTAGAAGAGGTAAGTGTTTCGTTTGGAAGATGAATGAAAGTTTTATCAATCCATGCACATGTATTAGTCGATGGGTTGATTTTCCATCCTCGTTATGTCCTAAATCCGTTGTGCCTCTCTGCCTAGCGAAGTGCGACAAAGAACTTAAATTGGATTCGCCGGCTAGATGTCGCGCACACCTTGGTATAGTGCAAAGTCGTCTTGTTAGATCTATATGCTGGACTAAACCCGTTGTAGCGCGAAATGTTTACCTTCGCAACACTTCCGGGTCGGAAATTCCGGAGCGCCACCTGGCGGATTAGTGCGTCGGCGTTTGCCATTTGTACGCTATCAGCAGACGATGGACTGTTGCGAAGATGTTGATAAACCAACGGTCCAATGACGGTGTTGGCAGTTTATCATGAATTATCACATGAATCAGAGGCAAACTAAGGGATGTTGTGAAGATACCATGTTGGATTTAAGCAAGGTTGTTAGAATTTTGAAAACGAAGGCATGCCGATTGCCGTACAACGGTACAAGTCACATGGTTTATCAGTTAGCATGTAGACTACTAGTTTACGTGTTATGAATATTTCAGTCAGTCCAGTATAGGCGATATGTGCGTTGTATTGTTGAAACTCTGTAGGTTGATTTCACTAACTTTTTCGAGGTTGTCACTGATGATCATATGTTGGATATCTTGTCGGTCTTTCCTCTTGATTTCTACGACGTAGTTACCTGCATGTATCCAACGTAAGGCAGTAAAGTTTACACCCTCGATACATCTCGACTGTCATTGGAAAATATTTATTCGTTGCAGAATGATGCACTTGTATAATCGAAACATAAACATGTGTGAAAGGTATGTGTGTACCAGATATATTTGACTTCTGCTTAATGCTTTCTGGAAGGTTAGGGACCGTTCAGTTATGGCTGTGGAGGGGTGGGGGGTATGATTTTAAGGGGAGTCACCCCTTGTTCTGGGGAGGTAGGGAGGTCATCAATTTTGTTCACATGTACTTGGGGGAGTCACCAATTTTGAACATTTAATATTAAATAAATATATGCTTAAAGGTCACATGCAACCAAAAATCAAACATAATTAAAACACAATTATCACTTATTCATGATATATAATATACATTGCTGATTATGAAAAAACATATAAATAAACTTATAAGCGTACAATCGCGAAATCAAAAGTGCAATATTTTGTACTTGGGTTTACTTCCCAAGAAACGAAGCAGCCGGGATACCGAACCCAGTCACAGCGGGTGGGTATGCACTCAAGTGTAACGGCTGATTCATTTGCAGATGCCCTCATGGCTCATTGTGTGTGTATATATAGAGATGTTGGATTTTGTAAATACATGCTCATTTTTTGTGTATAACATTTTGCAATCAACAGACTTCATAACATGTCATGTGTACAAGTATCACACCTGCCTGTCTGTGTAATTACATAATGTGACAGAGACCGAACTCGGGCCATAAATCAATGCATTTTCTTTATGGTGTATAGCCTGATAGGTGTTAAGTTCAAATTGCATGTGGTCAGTGATTGAAGTTGTGTATTGCATATTGTCATTAGCAGACAGGCAGGCAGACACATAGGTGTCAATAAAACAGACATTGAGTTTTGTCTGTGACAACGACATATCTGTATCACAGTTAGAAATCCTGTCAACGCTAAATAATGACATTGCTTTTAAGTATCGAACTTAGAAAGTGACTCGGTAAGAAGAATGTGTGGTGAAATAGACAAATGAAATTATATCAACAGTTAAATCGGTAATCTACTGTTATAACATATAAAAGCTCGCGCCTGTGAAATATCAACAAAACATTAGAAAAATAGCTCACACCAAAGCATTCACCGGACAACCCGCTTCCAAGCTGCGCGAACTTATTTCACTGCGCATGTGCTATGAGCGCAGCCCAGTGCAGCGCAGCCCAGCTGTTGAAACCACTTTTCCCCCAAGCGCTGGGGGAAAATTAGTGAATCGTTTGAACTCTGATTTCGCGCGGTGTTTTTCATCGCGTTATATTTCAACTTTATAAGTTGAATTTGCATTTTTGATGATTTGTTTCGGTAAGTCCATACCTAAAGGTATCAGAATCTGCAAAGTTGTGTTTTACGTTGCATGTGACCTTTAAAAATTGGGAAATTGATTTTGTACATGGCATGAGGGGGTAGTTAAGATACATAGCGTTCACTGACATGAACGCTATGCAGCACCTCCATAGGCCTAGCTAAAATACATAGCATTCACTGACATGAACGCTATGTATCTTAGCTAGGTTGGGGGGGTGTCAATCAGTTTGTACATGCTTCTCCATATAAGGCCTAAAAAAAAAAAGCTTGTGGTTCCGATTTCCCGACCGACCCTAAATATTCCCGCCGAGCCTAACTATTTTACTCACCACATAATAAATTAAATTTATTTTCTGACACATGACTCATGATGAGTAATGTAAAAATATTTTGCAAAAAACCAAACAACCCTACCTACCTACCCTAGTTCTGAAATGTAGGAAATCGGAACCATAACATTTATTTTTTTTTGGCCTAAATTATCATCATTCCCCCTAGCCTTTAATTATGAACGGTCCCTTAAAGTCCCTGAACATACCATCTAAATACTATTTATTTAATAACAACACTGCGAAGATTAGGAAAAGGATTCGTCTTTGTTAGCCCAGTGTTCCAGACTGGCATATAAGTACAAACTCAGCCAGAATTTTAACCATCACATGCTACCAAGTATACGATGGGGCGACTTCATGCCCTGCTAACCTATCATTTCATAAAAGACAACTGACATGATCAAGTCGTCATCAGTTGGTTGATGCGTTTCTCTTTGTTGTTCTACACTGTACTCGGCAATATTCCAGCTATACGGTGGCGGTTTGTAATTAATCTAGTCTGGACCAGACAGTCCAGTGATCAACATCATGAGCATCGATCTATGCATATGGGATACAATGACATGTGTCAACCAAGTCAGGGGGCCTGACCACCCAATCCTGTCAGTCGCCTCTTACAACAAGCATGGGTTGCTGAAGACCAATTCTAATCCAGATCTTCACGGGTTTGGTGCGTTTTCTTGTATCCAAATTCAGTGATAATCATGGTGTTATGTTTGCTGGAAAAGTGCTGAGTGTCGCGATAAGCAACAAACAAACATGACGTCTGTCCCTGGATTGTCTTGTTTGGACGTAATTGTTTTCGGTCCTTTGTGCTCCCTCCATCCAAGCTACCAACCTACTTCGTCACTCGCTCACTCTGCGTGTGGTGGGATAGCCTAGTGGTTAAAGCATTCGCTGGTCATGCTGAAGACCTGGGTTCGATTCCCAACATGGGTACAATGCGTGAAGCCCATATCTGGTTTCCCCTGCCATGATATTGCTGGCATATTGCTAAAAGTGGCGTAAAACCATACTCACTCACTCGCTCACTCTGCCTTCAGGATAGATTTATGATGATGCTGTTGTTTCAGATGGCGATTCCTGACTTGGCCATTACATGGACAGACTTTAACGTTTGGTTTGGACTCGCTGCATTGTGGTTAACTCCTTTCACCTGGAATGTTGTAAGTACACAATTTATCCCACCTTACACGTCATGGATATATACTCAAGGAACTTAGTTAAGCAACCAATGCATTATAACAGTGATATGAACAGAAACGTATCAGAACTTTCATACATCTTAGTGGGGCGGTTGGGTAGCCTAATGGTTAAAGCGTTGGCTCGTCACGCCGAAGACCCGGGTTCGAATCCCCACATGGGCACAATGCGTGAAGCCCATTTCTGGTGTTCCCTGCCGTGATGTTGCTGGAATATTGCTAAAAGTGGCGTAAAACCAAACTCAGTCAGTCAGTCATACTTCTTAGTTCTAGACATAAAACGAAGCAACCTTCGGGCTTCATAAATCACACTCTTGTCGTAAGAGGCGACGAACGGGATTGGGTGGTCAGGCTCGCTGACTTGGTTGACACATATCATCGTATCCACATTACGTAGATCGATGCTCATGATGTCCATCACTGGATTGTCTGGTCCAGACTCGATTATTTACAGACCATCATCATATAACTGGAATATTGCTGAGTGCAGCACTAAGCAACAGTCAGACCCTTATGAAGTCGTAAATGTTATAAAATATCACTTCATGTGAAAAGCTATCTGAAAACTATGGTACCAGGAACATATTTCAACTGTAAGATTTTATGTATGACTGACTGACTGACTGAGTTTAGTTTTACGCCGCTTTTAGCAATATTCCAGCAATATCACGGCAGGGGATACCGGAAATGGGCTTAACACATTGTGCCCATGTGGGGAATCGAACCCGGGTCTTCGGCGTGACGAGCCAACGCTTTAACCACTAGGCTACCCCACCGCCCCATTTTTATGTATGACATTGGGAAAGAATTGAATTTAGTCCATATTTTGATAGAGGCATGAGCAAACCTTCTGTGATGTTTTATGATGTCTGTTGGGCCAGTGATTTTCTGTAAAATCGTTGTACAAGGATCAAAGACATTCAGATACTAAGAGATGTTTTGATGGGAAGTAAATAGACCTGTGAGGTAATGATTAATATCACCATAACAGTTTGTTACAATTTAACAAAATGTTTATTGCCAAAGAACAAACCCCACCTGTGAATGTAGCGGCCATAAAATCTCCGAGTTCCATGGTGGGATTCGAACCACGGACCTTCGGATCCCAAGTCCGGAAGCCTTGTCTACATGACCAAAGAGGTTACTGACTGACTGACTGAGTTTGGTTTTACGCCACTTTTAGCAATATTCCAGCTACATCACGGCGGGGGACACCAGAAATGGGCTTCACACATTGTACCCATGTGGGGATTCGAACCCGGGTCTTCGACGTGACGAGCCAACGCTTTAACCACTAGGCTACCCCACCGCCCCCTAAAGAGGTTAACCCCATCAGCAAGCTGACAGGATGTCATCTGTGGGATGACTCCACACCCTGCTACATGACGACATATTCTTCCATGTTTATTGACTGTCTTGATTATAGACTGCTGTAATTATGGTAATGCAGCAGGGAATAAATAGTACTGAGTGCCACATTATAAGACCAAAAGTGAACTTTAAAGTTTTACAACAATTGTATTGTCCATTATCAACAAAAAAAACTTACTTCACATTCCAAAATGAAAATTTGTATCACACTTTTTTTGCCAATGCCTATTAACTGTAAACCCAAAGATTGCTGTTCTGACCAACAATTACGGAGTCTGTTTGACCTTTTGTATGCATGTCTGAAAAGACTATGCTATCAGGGGTGGAAATAACCCATTGCAAGACGTCCGAGTCCGTTTTCTCTCGGGCAAGCAAATTTGTATATCACACTGTACCAGTGTCCAGTTGACTTTCCAATGTTAATTATGGTGTTTATTTAAAAAATCAGCAAGAAAACGGTCGGTATAGTGGGAAAATTATCAGGGCAAGTGACTTTACATCTGCCACTGTACCGGAGTACACTATCAATTTTAAAGTTATTTCCACCCCTGGCTATGTAAAAATTATGATTACAGAACATTAACAATGATGAAAGTCATGGAGCTTTTTATTATGACTTCAATGCTTTTAACAAACAAAATAGGGATCCCTACATGCATGATAAAACAATAACCCAGAAAAGCCTCAAGAACCCCTTGACCCTATTTTAAATTTATTTTATTTAAATTAAAATTATACTAACTAGAATGAGGAAGGTTTTTTTTGTGAAAATCAGATCAATTTCAAATACATTTTATGAGCTAATTTGTGGAGATTCTAAGCCAAAGGTCACAGTGACCTGTACAATTGCTGAATGTGGCATTAAACAGCATTCAAACCCACAATTATGACAGAGTGGGTGAGGTTAGTTTTATGCCACTTTAAGTTTTAGCGATATTCCAAAAATGTCACAGCAAGAACACCAGAAATGGGCTTCACACGTTGTACGTATGGGGAATCGAACCTGGGTCTTCATCATGACAAGGCTACCCCAGTAGTAGTAGCAGTAGTAGTAGTAGAGGTATCAAAACTTGGTCTTCAGCGTAAGGAGCATATGCTTTAACTGCTCTGCTACCCCAGTGCCCCCAACTGTAATATATAGAGAATCTCACCCAAGTGTCCACTGATATCAGTTATATCAACATGAGTTGATAAAGTTACAAATATCCGAGGCTTGCTGAGGATATTTTTACCTTTATCAATGAGTGTTGATGTAATTGATATCAGTAAACACGGTTGGGTGAGATTATATTTGAATTTATCAAAAACCAAGAAATCATTCTTCATTAGTTTTCAATGAAAAATGTACATCTCTCAACACTGTACTACCATTAGACTTGAAGTGCAGCAATGTCATAGCATTGTGATGTCATCAAGTTGATGATGTCATAGCATTGTCAGGGCATTGTACAAAATCTACAGTCAAAACGATATCTCCTTGGAGATATCATATGATCTCACACAAGCGATATCTCCTGTGGAACGCAGTTTTGGATGATAAAAGTGTCTTTACTTTCACAGGTTGCAAGACTTGAATACAGAACACAGTTCCTGACAAAGCTGTTTGGGAACCCCCGACTTGCATGTACAGCCCTGGCCCTGTGTATTATCTCCGCCACTCTCTACAAGAGTTACAGGTTTGTTGCTTGTCCAGTACTCCTGTCCATATTGTTATTAGTGGATTCACAATAATGTCTACATAAATAGCCAACCGCCTCCATGGTGTAGTGGTTAGAGCATCCGCCTGGAGAGCGGAAGGTCGCGGGTTTGATCCCCGACCGCGTCATACCAAAAGACGCTAAAATATGGTACTTGTTGCTTGTGGGTCCCTGCCTGGCTCTCGGCATTAATGGGTACAACAAGGACTGGTCGGCTCGGGGTCAGTATAATGTGTCTGAGTAGGGTATTCATGCTTCACTGCGGGATGGTATCTCAGTGGGCTAGCACTATAAAACCAGCTTCAGTCTGGGCTAGTACAAGCAGCCACAAATACACATACACACGCATGCACGTCGTCATATGAGCTCAATATTCTCAGGCACGACGATAAATCCAATTTCACCTCACCTCACCTACATAAATAGCAAAGACAGATTGCCAGTGTGGCAAATAGTTTCCAAATTTTGCTGGCCAGTCGGGCTAACTATTCCTGAAAGTTATTAGCCCACAAAATAATTCACTAGCCCCAAATTTGAATGTAGAAACTTAGCAAAATATCTAAAACATAGATGAGAATAAGATATTGTCGGCATGACACAGGTTTCATGATTAAACTGCTAATATGATGAACATTTTTATCAGGCCATAATCTTGCATGATTTAAAAGTGTATTATAGCTTAACAAGTTGGAAAGAGTGATATACTTACAAAATGACCCCATGAAAATTGACTAGCCAGTTGGGCAAGTGACTGTGGAGATTTACTGGGCCGACTGGAGTTTTAATAGCCACAGGCTAGCGGGCCAGTGGCTATTTCGCACACTGCAGATTGCACAACAATCTAAGAACATGAATACACAATGCCATTTAGAAAGTGTACAAATGTAACATACAGTCAAATCCCGATGAGTCTCGAATATTATGCATAACTCGAAGTACCTGTCGGTCCCGACCATTCCCTGTTATAGTTGACATCTTTTGATTTCCGGTTACACGAATTCATCTCATAAATACACACGATGACTCGAGAAGGAAATTTGGTCCCATGAGATTCAAACAACAGCAATCTTATATACATAAGCCGAAGTCAGTCATTGAGAAGTTGATTGGTGTAGCAAACTGATCCAATTAACAAACCAGCGGGGCTCACACCTTTCAGCCATTGACGGGTGAGTTCAAAAGGCAGATTAGTGATTTTACGGAAATAACTGTCTGTGTTAATCAGACTGGAACTGATCAGGTGCCCCTATTAGTGATATGGAAATCATTAGATAAACAAATGCTTAGGCGGAGGAGTTAGGACTGGATCATCTTTTTTTCTACCCTCGTAGACATACCTATGTCTCGAATACATTGATAAGTCGAATTTATTACTTGGTCCCCAGCGATTCGACTCATCGGGGATTTGACTGTATTTTATATTTGGGACTACGCTTTCTTAGTAAAGTACAGATTCTAGTACTTTTTTGTTTGGTTAAGTCCCACCCGGGATTTGAACCAACACTCTCAGAGTCAGGCAGCACACAAGGCTGTGGAAGCCGCAGTGGCTGAGTAGGTCACATGGCTGATCAAAGGGCGGTAACTTAATTTGAAGGTAGTTATTTGAATCAAAATGCAACGGAAACACCAAATGTCAATGACACGGCCATCGCAGTGAATGTTGAAACTGAGAGCGAAGACATCGCAGTCATGTTCTGCCCAAACAAAATGGCACGTTTTATATCCGTGTGTTTTGTTCCGTGAAAGTCAAAATAAGTCCACTAATTTAAAATGAAAACAGAATGTCACTGGGATATAAAGTTACAAGTTAATAACTTTAATGATCATCTCATTAAATTAACAGTGTTTGAATTAACAGTTATATAATACAACTGAACAGCTGTAATTTGAATGATAAAAATCATTAAAATTACTGAGTGAATAAATTGTCTCCCTTGTTTTTCCTGACGACCCACCTACAATGGCAAATGTCCCACTAAAGTACTGTCGTAAATGCTCGAAAAATGCTTTTTGACTTATATTTAAAATTCAGAGGTGTTACAGTTACATAAATAACAAATAGCACTTTAAGAAACATCCACCTAATGTAGACCGAGGGAATAAATTTTGAGACATGCCCTAAAATGTGTTTTTACTGATGAAAATACCCAAAAATTAGAAAAATAACGGGTAGTGGGATGTTATTTGATACAAACATTAAATGCCTGTGTTACGTCATCAGCATGCACGGTATCGACAGGTGAAATTGACACCTGAGCACACGCCCGGGGAAGGGGTCATCTCAATAGATCTTCAAAATGTTGAATATGTGTACGTATAGTATACGTATTGGTTATGTAAGGGATCATTTGTGCATTTGTGTATGTGTGTTTGTTTTGAAATAAACATACAAATTACTGTACATTGGAAAGAATCCTATCACTTGTGTTATCTTATCGATTGATTGTAGAAATGTGCATCGTTTTAATAAGTGTTTTGCATGTCAACAGTATATTTCATTGCAAAAATATGGATGTAATTCGGTCAATTTATTCTAGTTGTGAACATTGGCCAAAGATTTAACGAAGTCACTGGTGTAGCTTCTTTAGAATATATATATTCTACTTCTCATAAAGTTTGTAGACTGCCCATCTTATTACTCCCTTGTCAAAGTTGTCAAGGATGGTTTTACGTCCCGGTTTTGCTTTTGAGACGGTCCCTGTCTTGTCTGATTTGTTTACAATATTGTAAACTTGTTGGTAAGACATACCAACAGCTCTACAAGTTCTGTGATAAACCCTTTCTAAACTAATGAAAGGTTTACCTCTGTCTTTTTCAAGCACAAAAAACTTATAAACCTTTGCAACAATTGACTGCAAATAGTTGGCCATAGTGGACGCTGTGATAAAGATGTGCATGCATGACGGGAAACAAATTTATCAAGACTTAACAACATTTATATTAATATTTCTTCAATAAAGAAACGATAATTAAGTAAAATAACACAAACATTCATTATTTATTTGTTAAAGAATAACGTTGATTCATATTTTTACACCGCCTGTTTTATTAGCATAAATGTAAAGACTATTTCAGATTTCTGTTGTTGAACTCTGAACAAATCTTAGTTGTTGTTTTGGTACCATATTCTCTCCTGTAAACTGCCCTTTTAAATGCATGGGAATGTTAAATCGATTGAAATAAAAATTAGGTACACTATAGGCAAGTTGATATATTGACAACATAGTACATTTATCACCTTTATCAAAGTATTAAGGCTAAAAAGCATTTTTCTAGCATTTCCGACAGTACTTTAGTTCATTACCTATGGGCCGGGGGCCCACTTCATCTGAAAAGTAAAATAGACACTGGAGGCTGCATGTAGAACTGGATCCTGTGTCTGTCAGTTAGTTACCAGTAAGATTATTGTCATCCCAGGTTCAAGATGGCAATGGACAGTCAGCCTCGCTGCATTCTGCTCCAAGAGAACTGGATCCTGTGGCTGGGATACTTCCTCATCTACCTGGGTGTGCTGCTGGTTGTCAGTAGTTTCTTAGCTTTAGGATTCTTTGGTACCTACTTGGGTGAGTAGTACTGAGAACACAGGGTACATCCGTTACTATTCTCTTCCACATAGGTGATGCAGGGATTTACCTGGAGTCCTGTATTTGAGGGTCCCTGGGACTCATACTCTTAATTTTCAGGGGTCCTGGATTACAAAATGGGGGTCCCAGACACTTAAATATTAATATTAATACTGTTATTGTATTGTGTATCATGATCATCGCATTGTTACATAAATAAATTGCAAATGATACCATAACCCAGCTAGTAGCAAACTCAGTTATAACTTATTGTTACTTGATTGGAACTTTTACAAAAAGTATTTGGAGTTTGTCTGCGTCCCTGTGGATGCGCTTATAAATTTTGTTGCATCCATTGTCAATTTTTATATGTATAGGACGCAGGAATTCGCGTCCTGTAAATCCCTGGTGATGTAGGATTTGTCCTGTCCCTCTGTCCATCCATCCTGCAGGTTTCAAAGGCAGATCAATATTTCTTTATTGAACCATGCACAGATACATGTTTAGCTATCAGGTACCTTTTGCTCTTTGGGAATTTTATGCATATATTTTCAGTTTCTTTGACGACAAGTATATACTAGGTAGGGTCTGTTTCTCAAAGAAGTTTTTCAAAACCAAACTCTGTACAAAGCTTTATGTGTTTTTCAGTTATTAGTTACAATATATAGATTTAGAGGTCCAAGTCAAAAGGGCCACATGACGAAAGGGCCCCAAAACGGAAAAGTCAAAAGGGCCGCAAGAAAGTCAAAAGGGTCGCAAAACAAAAGAATTTGTCATAATCATGAATGATAAGTGTTTTGTTACTTAGATGAAATAAATAACTATCACATACATCTATTCTTTGTCATCATTTTCTTTCAAATATTGAAAAAATATCTTATTAAAAACTTAACTAGTATTTATAAAGTATACATTGTTGCAACAAGTGCAAAATGCAGCTGCTAGAATCGTAACCCGGACCAAACCATCTGAACATGTCACTCCAGTACTTAAGCAGCTCCACTGGCTACCCATTCAGCACAGAATAATCTTCAAAACTCTCTGCTTTGTTTTCAAGGGTCTAACTGGCCAAGTGCCGCACTACATAACTGAACTGATTCAGCCCTATATCCCCGCGAGAACATTACGATCCAAATCCAAGTCACTGCTCGTGATCCCTCCAGTAGAACTTCCAGCTACAGGAAGAGAACCTTCAAGTATGCTGCCGCAAAGACATGGAACGAACTGCCTGAATGTTTGAAAAACTGTTCAAATCTACATGACTTCAAACGAAGTCTCAAAACTCATCTCTTCAGAATGTCATATCCAGATGACTAGTTTCATCTCAAGTGACTATGTTTTTAATTCTGTGCGCTTTGAGCATTTACTGTGAATGGAAATAGCGCGGTACAAATGGACTATAATAATAATAATATAATGTATAACCTTTTACTATAATACACTTTTTTTATATGGGGCTCTTTTGACTAGGGGTCTGAGGCCCTTTTGACTTTTCGATGCAGCCCTTTTGACTTTTTGATGCAACCCTTTTGACTAGGGGTTTGTGGCCCATTTGACTTTTCCGTTTTTGGGGCCCTTTTGTCATGCGGCCCTTTTGACCTGTTCCCTAGATTTAGTAGTAGCTGTTTAAGATTACCTGCTTTAGGAGAAGATAAATACCCGGTACTCATACTACAGACCAAGGGGAATCCTATTTAACAGTGTTGGATGGTTTATTCTTTCAGGTGATTATTTTGGAATACTCATGGATGAGAAAGTAACGAGCTTCCCTTTCAACCTGGTCGGCAATCCTATGTATGTTGGAAGCACAATCAACTACCTGGGCATGGCTCTCATGTAAGTGTGGGTGTTGTGGTGTTACTTGTACAATCAACTACCTGGGCATGGGTCTCATGTAAGTGTGGGTGTTGTGGTGTTACTTGTACAATCAACTATCTGGGTGTGGCTCTCATGTAAGTGTGGGTGTTGTGGTGTTACTTGTACAATCAACTACCTGGGCATGGGTCTCATGTAAGTGTGGGTGTTGTGGTGTTACTTGTACAATCAACTACCTTGGTGTGGCTCTCATGTAAGTGTGGGTGTTGTGGTGTTACTTGTACAATCAACTACCTTGGTGTGGCTCTCATGTAAGTGTGGGTGTTGTGGTGTTACTTGTACAATCAACTACCTGGGCATGGGTCTCATGTAAGTGTGGGTGTTGTGGTGTTACTTGTACAATCAACTATCTGGGTGTGGCTCTCATGTAAGTGTGGGTGTTGTGGTGTTACCTGTACAATCAACTACCTGGGCATGGCTCTCATGTAAGTGTGGGTGTTGTGGTGTTACTTGTACAATCAACTATCTGGGTGTGGCTCTCATGTAAGTGTGGGTGTTGTGGTGTTACTTGTACAATCAACTATCTGGGTGTGGCTCTCATGTAAGTGTGGGTGTTGTGGTGTTACCTGTACAATCAACTACCTGGGCATGGCTCTCATGTAAGTGTGGGTGTTGTGGTGTTACTTGTACAATCAACTACCTGGGCATGGCTCTCATGTAAGTGTGGGTGTTGTGGTGTTACCTGTACAATCAACTACCTGGGTGTGGCTCTCATGTAAGTGTGGGTGTTGTGGTGTTACTTGTACAATCAACTGGGTGTGGCTCTCATGTAAGTGTGGGTGTTGTGGTGTTACCTGTACAATCAACTGGGTGTGGCTCTCATGTAAGTGTGGGTGTTGTGGTGTTACTTGTACAATCAACTACCTGGGTGTGTCTCTCATGTAAGTGTGGGTGTTGTGGTGTTACTTGTACAATCAACTACCTGGGTGTGTCTCTCATGTAAGTGTGGGTGTTGTGGTGTTACCTGTACAATCAACTACCTGGGTGTGGCTCTCATGTAAGTGTGGGTGTTGTGGTGTTACTTGTACAATCAACTACCTGGGTGTGGCTCTCATGTAAGTGTGGGTGTTGTGGTGTTACTTGTACAATCAACTACCTGGGTGTGGCTCTCATGTAAGTGTGGGTGTTGTGGTGTTACCTGTACAATCAACTACCTGGGTGGCCTCATGTAAGTGTGGGTGTTTTGGTGTTACTTGTACAATCAACTACCTGGGTGTGCTCTCATGTAAGTGTGGGTGTTGTGGTGTTACTTGTACAATCAACTACCTGGGTGTGGCTCTCATGTAAGTGTGGGTGTTGCGGTGTTACTTGTACAATCAACTACCTGGGTATGGCTCTCATGTAAGTGTGGGTGTTGTGGTGTTACTTGTACAATCAACTACCTGGGTGTGGCTCTCATGTAAGTGTGGGTGTTGTGGTGTTACCTGTACAATCAACTATCTGGGTGTGGCTCTCATGTAAGTGTGGGTGTTGTGGTGTTACCTGTACAATCAACTATCTGGGTGTGGCTCTCATGTAAGTGTGGGTGTTGCGTGTTACTTGTACAATCAACTACCTGGGTATGGCCTCATGTAAGTGTGGGTGTTGTGGTGTTACTTGTACAATCAACTACCTGGGTGGCTCTCATGCAAGTGTGGGTGTTGTGGTGTTACCTGTACAATCAACTATCTGCGTGGCTCTCATGTAAGTGTGGGTGTTGTGGCATTACCTGTACAATCAACTACCTGGGTGTGGCTCTCATGTAAGTGTGGGTGTTGTGGCATTACCTGTACAATCAACTACCTGGGTGTGTCTCTCATGTAAGTGTGGGTGTTGTGGTGTTACCTGTACAGTCAGCTACCTAGGTGTGGCTCTCATGTAAGTGTGGGTGTTGTGGTGTTACTTGTACAATCAACTACCTGGGTGTGGCTCTCATGTAAGTGTGGGTGTTGTGGTGTTACCTGTACAATCAACTACCTAGGTGTGGCTCTCATGTAAGTGTGGGTGTTGTGGTGTTACTTGTACAATCAACTACCTGGGTGTGTCTCTCATGTAAGTGTGGGTGTTGTGGTGTTACTTGTACTATCAACTACCTGGGTGTGTCTCTCATGTAAGTGTGGGTGTTGTGGGGTTACCTGTACAATCAACTACCTGGGTGTGGCTCTCATGTAAGTGTGGGTGTTGTGGTGTTACTTGTACAATCAACTACCTGGGTGGCTCATGTAAGTGTGGGTGTTGTGGTGTTACTTGTACAATCAACTACCTGGGTATGGCTCTCATGTAAGTGTGGGTGTTGTGGTGTTACTTGTACAATCAACTACCTGGGTGTGGCTCTCATGTAAGTGTGGGTGTTGTGGCATTACCTGTACAATCAACTACCTGGGTGTGGCTCTCATGTAAGTGTGGGTGTTGTGGTGTTACCTGTACAATCAACTATCTGGGTGTGGCTCTCATGTAAGTGTGGGTGTTGTGGTGTTACTTGTACAATCAACTACCTGGGTATGGCTCTCATGTAAGTGTGGGTGTTGTGGTGTTACTTGTACAATCAACTACCTGGGTGTGGCTCTCATGTAAGTGTGGGTGTTGTGGTGTTACCTGTACAATCAACTATCTGGGTGTGGCTCTCATGTAAGTGTGGGTGTTGTGGCATTACCTGTACAATCAACTACCTGGGTGTGGCTCTCATGTAAGTGTGGGTGTTGTGGCATTACCTGTACAATCAACTACCTGGGTGTGTCTCTCATGTAAGTGTGGGTGTTGTGGTGTTACCTGTACAGTCAGCTACCTAGGTGTGGCTCTCATGTAAGTGTGGGTGTTGTGGTGTTACTTGTACAATCAACTACCTGGGTGTGGCTCTCATGTAAGTGTGGGTGTTGTGGTGTTACCTGTACAATCAACTACCTAGGTGTGGCTCTCATGTAAGTGTGGGTGTTGTGGTGTTACTTCTACAATCAACTATCTGGGTGTGGCTCTCATGTAAGTGTGGGTGTTGTGGTGTTACTTGTACAATCAACTATCTGGGTGTGGCTCTCATGTAAGTGTGGGTGTTGTGGTGTTACTTGTACAATCAACTACCTGGGTGTGGCTCTCATGTAAGTGTGGGTGTTGTGGTGTTACCTGTACAATCAACTACCTGGGTGTGGCCTCATGTAAGTGTGGGTGTTGTGGTGTTACTTGTACAATCAACTACCTGGGTGTGCTCTCATGTAAGTGTGGGTGTTGTGGTGTTACCTGTACAATCAACTATCTGGGTGTGGCTCTCATGTAAGTGTGGGTGTTGTGGTGTTACTTGTACAATCAACTACCTGGGTGTGGCTCTCATGTAAGTGTGGGTGTTGTGGTGTTACTTGTACAATCAACTACCTGGGTGTGGCTCTCATGTAAGTGTGGGTGTTGTGTTACTTGGTACAATCAACTACCTGGGTATGGCTCTCATGTAAGTGTGGGTGTTGTGGTGTTACTTGTACAATCAACTACCTGGGTGTGGCTCTCATGTAAGTGTGGGTGTTGTGGTGTTACCTGTACAATCAACTATCTGGGTGTGGCTCTCATGTAAGTGTGGGTGTTGTGGTGTTACCTGTACAATCAACTATCTGGGTGTGGCTCTCATGTAAGTGTGGGTGTTGTGGTGTTACTTGTACAATCAACTACCTGGGTATGGCTCTCATGTAAGTGTGGGTGTTGTTATGGTGTTACTTGTACAATCAACTACCTGGGTATGGCTCTCATGTAAGTGTGGGTGTTGTGGTGTTACCTGTACAATCAACTATCTGGGTGTGGCTCTCATGTAAGTGTGGGTGTTGTGGCATTACCTGTACAATCAACTATCTGGGTGTGGCTCTCATGTAAGTGTGGGTGTTGTGGCATTACCTGTACAATCAACTACCTGGGTGTGTCTCTCATGTAAGTGTGGGTGTTGTGGCATTACCTGTACAATCAACTACCTGGGTGTGTCTCTCATGTAAGTGTGGGTGTTGTGGTGTTACCTGTACAATCAACTACCTGGGTGTGGCTCTCATGTAAGTGTGGGTGTTGTGGTGTTACCTGTACAATCAACTACCTAGGTGTGGCTCTCATGTAAGTGTGGGTGTTGTGGTGTTACTTGTACAATCAACTACCTGGGTGTGGCTCTCATGTAAGTGTAGGTGTTGTACAATCAACTACCTGGGTATGGCTCTCATGTAAGTGTGGGTGTTGTGGTGTTACTTGTACTATCAACTACCTGGGTGTGTCTCTCATGTAAGTGTGGGTGTTGTGGGGTTACCTGTACAATCAACTACCTGGGTGTGGCTCTCATGTAAGTGTGGGTGTTGTGGTGTTACTTGTACAATCAACTACCTGGGTGTGGCTCTCATGTAAGTGTGGGTGTTGTGGTGTTACTTGTACAATCAACTACCTGGGTATGGCTCTCATGTAAGTGTGGGTGTTGTGGTGTTACTTGTACAATCAACTACCTGGGTGTGTCTCTCATGTAAGTGTGGGTGTTGTGGTGTTACTTGTACAATCAACTACCTGGGTGTGGCTCTCATGTAAGTGTGGGTGTTTTGGTGTTACTTGTACAATCAACTACCTGGGTGTGGCTCTCATGTAAGTGTGGGTGTTGTGGTGTTACTTGTACAATCAGCTATCTTGGTATGGCTCTCATGTAAGTGTGGGTGTTGTGGTGTTACTTGTACAATCAACTATCTGGGTGTGTCTCTCATGTAAGTGTGGGTGTTGTGGTGTTACCTGTACAATGAACTACCTGGGTGTGGCTCTCATGGAAGTGTGGGGGTTGTGGTGTCGCAAGCACAAACAACTACCAGGGCATGGCTCTCATTTATGTGTGGGTGTATGTGTGGTTGGCCCCTTCACAGCATTTCAGCATGCAACCGATATTTTTTCAGATATTGTGTGAAGCTCATGTTTTGCATGTACATTTCAGGTTGTTAGTGCATGGCTGCCTTTTTTTGGACCATAATTTTGGGCCCTTGAATTCAGATGTAGTTATGAATGTTCATGTGATTATTTTCGTTTTTCTAAAACAAGTTGAGAAAGGAAGAAAAAATTATTTAACCCATGCCATGTTAAATTATTTTCTGTGTATTTGTTGATTACTTATTGGTTAATTGTTGTAATGCTTGTGTTTCAGTCGAGCTAGCAGTGCCGGACTGTTTCTGACAGCAGCAGTAGGACTGGCCTACTATGTAGCAATTTTATTTGAGGAGTGAGTACATAACTTAGACAAAAGAACCAGGGTCATGAAATATATTGGACATTGTGTATTGATTGACGGACCATCTACAGGCAGTTTACTCTTAATCATAGGAAAACAAAACTGAAATTATTTATCCTGTATGTCCTGAATAAATGGAGTTGTCTAAAACAGAATTAATATTTTGCTCCATCCCTCCTCCACCCCCACCCCTCCCCTTTCAAAGATAAATTAGATCTCTTAAAATAGTGACAAAAAATGATAATTTATAATTTCATGTTGCTGCAAAGACAGTAAGAATTCCCAATTCAATGCTTTTTCCCAATATGCTAAACAACTGTGGTTGGTCTTGAATTTGACCACCTTCTAAAAGCCATACATGTATTCGCACAGTGCCATAGTAAAATTTTCTCTTGTGTAAGGGTTTAAACGCTATATATTCAAATAAAGTGTATTATAATCGTCCAAAAAATGTTAAAGATCATATAGCTAACCTTTCCTTTTGCTATTTTTCAGACCCTTCACGGAAGAAATTTACAGGAACAGGAAGAAACAGTCATAATCTAAGATGTCATGTGTACAGAAGATCCGTTCCTATGCAACATCTTGGTTTTACATTATTTTTACACAATATTTGTATTGTAGTTCCAGGCTCGAATGCATATTAGTGGTGCATTCTCGGATCCATGTGTCCCGTTTAGGGATGGCTGAGGGGCTGTTTTCACTAATGGGATAGTATCTGATGCAGTTGCAATAGTATTGTGAAGTTATGCAACTAAAAGCAATAGTATTGCAACGTATGCAATTATTGCAATAGTATTGCGAAGGTATACACCCACTGCAATAGTATTGCAAAGGTATGCAACTATAAGCAATAGTATAGTGAAGATATGCAATTATTGCAATAGTATTGCAAAGGTATACAACCACTGCAATAGTATTGCAAAGGTATGCAACTATAAGCAATGGTATAGTGAAGATATGCAATTATTGCAATAGTATTGCAAAGGTATGCAACCACTGCAATAGTATTGCAAAGGTATGCAACTATAAGCAATAGTATAGTGAAGATATGCAATTATTGCAATAGTATTGCGAAGGTATACAACCACTGCAATAGTATTGCAAAGGTATGCAACTATAAGCAATAGTATAGTGAAGATATGCAATTATTGCAATAGTATTGCAAAGGTATGCAACTTTTGCGATACTAAAACAATAGTTATAAACTAAGTTTAAGGCTTGATGATTATCAAATGAATGAACCATAAAGGACAGTGTCAAAGTCGTTTGATCGGCATTCTATAATTTAGTGAGTCAATAATGAAGCATACGACTTTATGGATGACAACTTGTTTATTGCAAAGAGTCCCGTTACGGTGTAGGTTCTTACACTGTTATCAAGCTAAAAGTGTTATCACTGAAATGTATCTCTATCCAATAAACAAGAAGTTATTATCCATAAAGTCGTGTGCTAATGGCTGGTTGGAAATTCAACTGGCTTATTCTGTGGGTTTGTTTATGACTATAGTGCGTTTGGCTCAAAAGCAGACCGATGTATTGCAATCTAACTCGAAAACTTATAAACATAAAATACTCAATGAAACACTGATCATAATGAAAACGTCAGACCAAGTCTGAGAGGTGTTTGCAGAATTTATGTCCTAAAAATAAAAAAGTTGTTTAACAAACTATCATTAAAATATCGAAACAGTTCACTATTTGTTACGAGGGGGGAGTGCAGAGAAAGGGACCGACGGGTGCCGAGAAAAGATGGAGACGGCACAGCACAGGTTAATGAATCAATAACTTTGTCGGCACTTGTGCACGTGCTTCTCTAACACCTGGCTGTCCCTTTCTCTGCACTCCTCCCTCGTAACAAATAGTGAACTGTGTCAATATTTTAATGATAGTTTCTTAAACAACTTTTTAAGTTTTAGGACATAAATTCTGCAAACAAATCACAGAGTTGGTCTGATATTTTGATTATGATCAGCGTTTCATTGAGAATTATATGTTTATTAGTTTTTGAGTTAGATTGCAATTCATCGGTCCGCTTTTGAGCCAAACGCACTATAATTGTGACTGTGTTCAAACTGTAGATCGTTATACATGTACATACTACAGGGCTCCAGATAAGTTTTTAACATCAGGAGTACATACTCCTTATATTTTCAATACAGGAGTACTGGAAACACTTAAGAGTACATTTAGGGTACTGAGTGGAATATAATGGAGTATCAGTAATCTTGTGTTATGTTTCATTTATTGCATCACAACATTGCTAGTCTTGTGTAAACAGGTCACTTAACCATAAAACAATATTTTTTCTGATAAATGCGTCTGTAAATGATTCTAAGACCGTACACCCTTGCTGTGGTGCGTATCTACTACACTTTCTAAAATATTTCCTCCCGTATCGTGCATATTTGTTATCCGTACATACGCCGATACGGCCGTTATCTGGAGCCCTGATACTATCATTAGGTCAGTTCGAGGGAATAGAACTGTAATACATTGCTGCTTCAATCACATTTATAAGTTCACATGTGTAGAATAGTGTGGTTGTATCATCTTCTACGGACACCATCTGGACCCTCAAGGTAACACTGACTTACTGGGTGCTATTCCACAAAGTATTATCACTAAGGTGTTCATGACTCCAATACTTTCGCACAGACTTGAGTTAGTCATAGTGCTAAGATACAAAGGGAGGTAACTTGAATTGGTAAAGTTACCAAAGTGAGACATGGCAAGGGAAACAACTCTAATCAGTAAGGGTGCTAAAGTGGGATTTTGTAATGGAAGTAACTATAATTGGTAAAAGTGCCAAAGAAGGTGAGGTGAGGTGAAATTGGGTTTTACGTCGTGCTTGAGAATATTTCACTCATATGACGACATGCATGTGTATGTGTGTGTATGTGTATGTGCGGCTGCTTGTATTAGCTCAGACTGAAGCTGGTTTTATAGTACTAGCCCACTGAGATACCAAAGAGAGAGACATAGTAAGGGAATTAACTCTAATCAGTATGGGTGGCAAAATGAGACATGGTAAGGGAAGTAACTCTTATCGGTTAAGGTGTCAAAGATTGAGATGGTAGGGGGAAATAACTCTAATCGCTAAAGTTGCCAAACGTGGATATGGTAAGGGAAGTAACTCTTATCCGTTAAGGTGTCAAAGATTGATACTGTAGGGGGAAATAACTCTAATCGCTAAAGCTGCCAAACGTGGATATGGTAACGGAATAAATGATGTAATACCAACTGTCCAAGAACATTGGAGACAATGCCCAATGTGAGACCATAACAACTGATTCATTATTGACAGCACTCCAATAACATCAAGGACATACCTGAATGCAAGGATGCTCTAACAGATGTTTTACAGACTGCCTCTCTCACTATAAGATTGGGGGCGGTGGGGTAGCCTAGTGGTTAAAGCTTCCACTCGTCACGCCGAAGGCCCGGGTTCGAATCGCCACATGGGTACAATGTGTGAAGCCCATTTCTGGTGTCCCCGCCGTGATATTGCTGGAATATTGCTAAAAGCGGCGTAAAGCCACTCACTGTAAGATTGCTTTAACAGAAGTGAGTGTGCCTTCAGTATTCAGTAACTGGTGTGTTACAAACTGTATCTTAACTTTGCAGTTGTATGATATATCAAATAGTGCACCTGAAGATATACTATTCACACTTTCCTAAGGATCAAATCATGGATTCAACAGAAAACTATGATGTGGGGTCAAATTTGGTTTAGATATCTAAACTTATTGTAAACATGGTTCTTAGCTTTCAGCATTGCATTGCATCTTGTGGATCCCATACCTGCTATTGACAGGTGTTGTTTATTTGTCAATGATTCGTTCCATGAGTTGCAAAATGGTTGCTTGGTGCCATGAAAACCATGTTTATGGTTACTCATGTATCAAGTGCATAAGGTTAGAATAAAGTGGATGTCTGCCTAAAGAGGGGTTACCATATTATTATTTATCCAGTTTTAAATGGATGCAATTTCATATTATGAACCTACATTTAAGTAAAGTTGTGATTTTTTGTGGTCCTTATCAAAGTGTGAGTAGTTATATAACCAACATACAGAAAATCATTTGAACTTGATGAATGCTGATATATATTTGATATCAAAAGGTACTCAGGTAAGGCCAGACCAACTATATTTCTTGTTTTACAGATTTTTGTCCTCAGAAAACCTAAAGGCAGGAGGGTAAAAATATAAAAATAATATCACCAGTCACAGTAATATACCTTCTAAATACTAAAAGTAATTTAATTTTGGCAATTTATGAAGTGTATATGGGGCAAAAAACAATCAAAAAATAATTTTCTTATAAGTTTACATTATTGGCCAATAAAAACATTAGGATATTATTTTTTGAGCGGGAAATTTAATTTTTATTTTTTTCGTATTCTTGAACAAATACGAGCGGTGGATCCGTAAAACAAGAAATAAAACTGGTCTGGCCTAAGACTCGAATTGTCAACATTCCAGGGTCACCATCACAATCAATGTCCAAGCCTTTGTTTCTAGGCAGTGATATGCATCACTGTAAGACTTGATACTCCACATTATAGCAATGGAAGCATCACATTACAGTGTTACCTCTTATAACTAAGGATTAGATGCACTTTATTTCTAATTTCTGTGGGCATGGTTGTTTCAAAATAAAATTATTTTTATACATTTCTTCCCAGTGTCAGTCTTCCTATTTGTAATCTATTGTTTTTTTATACTGTGTATATAGTAAATATTGGCAATTTTTATGATGTTTTTTTTGTTGTTTTTTTATCTTATTGTAGGTACATGTATTACTGTACATCACCATTTAGAAGTTTAGATAGTTCTTACTCCTTTGAAATTCACCAAATCAAAGACCATGTTGGATATTGTAAAAGCAGAGTCTTAAAACGTATGTATGGCAACAATTGCCAGGGGGGTTCGAAAAACTCTTTGAAAATTTCTGGATCCGCCTATGTGCATTGATCGATTATTTTCAGACAGCGGTCTTGCAGCTGGAAAATGGACAACAAACAAAACCGTTTAGTGAGGGGTTATTGGTAACGCTGTATCAACAATTATTCAGCTATACCAAATGAGCTAAGTGCGATAATTATGTAACTGGGTACCGTTGTACAAAGCGATCTTAGCGCTAAGGTGACCATAACTCCCATAGCGCTCTAGTTGTTTTGTACAACGGAGCCCTGGACTTTAATGTCATGTCATGGCAACAGATACTCATTTCCTTGCTGTCCCTCAGGTCAGAGTAAGAAATTCATATTCCTGTAGACTTTTAAAGATCCGGGTTAGAATTTATATTTACAAACCCGAAGTGGTAGAGACCTGTGAAGAATCAGGTTAGAATTGGCCTTCAGTATCCCATGCTTGTCTTAACAGGCGACTAACGGGATCAGGTGGTCAGGCTCGCTGACTAGATTGACACATGTCATTGCGTAGATCGATGCTCATGCTGTCGATCACTGCGTTGTCTGGTTCAGACTCAATTATTTACAGACCGACACCATTTAGCTGGAATATTGCTGAGTGCGGCGTTAAACAACCAACCAACCAACAAAAGTGGACATGTATTATGTAAGTACATGTATATATTAGTGTTAATTAGGACTGTTACGATTCACTGGTATATTCTGTGACTTTTAGAATGCTGTTACCCCTATCAAAAGTTTCGTTCGTATTCTCCTTGAAACAACAAACCAACCAACCGAACGGGAAGATTGTATGGGCATCAGCTTCTGAAAATACACCGCCAGAATGATCCACTTGATGAAGGCGCGGGGATATATTGAAGCGTCGTGTCCCATTACAGAAGCTGACGTCCATCAAATTTGACCCTTTATGTCTATCATAAAAATAGTGCATGGTTGTCGCTCAAAATATGAAGATCAATAATCAGAGCTCAGTAATCGATCCATAAACGATTGTAATCGTAAACCCCTCCACAGAAACCACTTGGGCAATAACGTGACACACTCATAACATTGTGCAAACGAAACAGATTATACCGAGATCAATACGGTCGGGGATACTTCTAGTTGAGACACGCACACTAGTATGTTGTTTATATGCAGTTTTTAGACCCGTGAAGATCCGGGTTAGAAATGATCTTCAGTGACCCATGCTTGTTGTAAGTGGCGACTAACGGGATCGGGTGGTCAGGCTCGCTGACTTGGCTGACACATGTCATCGTATCCCAAATGCGTAAACTGATGCTCATCATGTTAATCACGGGATTGTCTGGTCCAGACTATTTACAGACCGCCGCCATACAGCTTGAATATTGCTGAGGGCAATATGTATATATTCAGTTGAATATAAAGTTACATATTTTACGTACGCTTCATATGGCAGTGAAGCGATTTATCCACGATACAGGAATGTACGCAAGAAATAGCCTCTGACAAACATTGTTGTTATCACTGAAAATACATAGCAATTATAGACAGTGGATAAATATATCACTTGGAGACATGAGTGAGTTACGTGTTACGCCCCACTTAGCAATATGGCGGCGGTCTGTAATAATCGAGTCTGGAGCAGACAATCCAGTGAGCAACAGCATGAGCATCGATCTACGCAATTGAG